CCCCCCCCCCCCCCCCTCTCACTTGCTGACTTCGCTTGAGCGATGAACAACCCTCCTTCAACCCCTCCATCTTGCATAATGTAGTCTTGACTCGTCTTCATTTCGTACATAATTTATTTCAGGTCACCGAATTCTGTAATCCTTACGTGCAGGGGGAATTTCACTGTGCCCCGCTGACACAATAAAATTCATCAACTTTCTCCCCTTCCGTGCGCAGTATTAACAAAAGTCCCTCCCCGTTACATGACGAGAAAATTATGCGGACATGCCTCCGTCTTTTCGTGCATGTAAAAAGAATTATAACTTCTTTGCTTTCGCAATATTTTAATGCGGTTGTGAATTCCTGAAAGATAATTGCGTGGCTGGTAACAGGGACAAGGGGGTAAGTAATTTGGAAGGGGGGGCCTTTTTGTTCGAGAAACTTCTGTTAGCGTCCCGGGTCCACAGAATTAATAAACCACTAACATTTTCTTCTGAAGTCCTACAGATCCGTCACTGATAAACATCGCACTTTATTCGATATCACATCATCTCTTAATTTTAAATTTTATCCATCATTTATAATTCATTTCGGAAAGTAATAACCTAACCACACTTTCTTTGCTGTCAGATGAGTAACCCGATTGCATTTATCAAGCCCTTTTTGTGTTTATTAATATTATTTTTCAGTGTTTCAAGATCGTATTTTCGTACAACGAGGGAATGGCAAACATCGCCCTTGTGATATTCAAATGGAGTTACACTCTCGATAACTTGAAACTGAAGTACATACTTATTTTAAAAAACTCAAGACTATTCCTTTAACATGCTTTGAAACTTTCGTTTTTTTGTCTAAAATAGTTTCCTGAATCAACATATAAAATCTGGAGTACATGAATAAATCAGGATAAATTAACTTCTGGTAAATATCATGCAGTGATATTTTCGAAATAGGTAAAGTTACTTTGGGCTGCTTTATAGTTAATGCTGTGTGTTTTGTGGTACTTTAAATTTACATTAAATTAAATTATACGAGAAACTGCATAATTTTGAATCTGTCTCCCCTACTGACACTTACATCGAACTGCCCGAGACCCCTGAAGAAAGAAGACGTTGTAATAGTCGAAACATAAATCACATGTTCATAGTATGTCATACTGTGTTAATAATTTTATAAGCTGGAATTATATTTAAATTCTGAAGGGTTCTGACGACAGAATATCACAATTACAATTACGCAGTGACTGAGATTAGCTCCATCTAAAGCACACGAGTGTAGGTGGTCTTCTCCCCACCCCCAAACTTTTTCACATGTAGAGAAAAACAAGTTCAGTTTACGAAAATGTTTATACGTTTCTGAAATCCATACGATGGACTAAGTCTATTCACACATCCAGAAAGTGGAATCGCATTTTTGTCTTGTGGAAAGGAAATCTTTTGAGCACTCAGTACGAGAATTGTGTGTACCCAGGCGTTAAATTTTCCATCAGTGCCATCGTGCAAATGGGAACTTTGTTCTTCCTTTGTAGAGGTTTATCCGCAGCTGGCGTACAAGTTCATAGAACAGACGCTTCAGCCCGGATCATCTGTGTCGCTCAAGTGCAGTGCGTCCGGGAATCCGACGCCTCGAATCTCATGGACGCTGGACGGCTTCGCCCTTCCTCACAACGAAAGGTACGTGTCTCATTTGCATATCACAGTTTCCAGTGTTCTCTGTTTTCGGAGATGTATTTTGGTTTCCTGCTTTTTAAAGAGAAACAGTACAAATTTATTCTTTCTTAGAAGAATGTTGTCTTAATTGATTAATTTTAATGTGCATGTTACCGGCAATGTATAGAATGCCTAAAGTCAGTAGGCAAAGTATGAAATAATTCGTAATGTTAATTTTGTTTGGTTGTGTAAATTGAAATTAATCGAAGTCGATTGGGTAAGCTCTCAAGATGGAGGTTTTGCAAGATAGTCGCGAAAACGTTAAATTACTCAATCTGAACATAAAAATTTTGAGAATTAAAAAAATTGTTTTATATTAAGTTTTTACAAATATAAAAGATAAAATAAAACTGTATAAATCGTATTAAAGAAACTTCTTTGTTATATAATTTGCCTAAAGAATCTGAGGCATTTTATTAAATTCCAAAGCAAAGTATAAAATAAACTGTTAGTTTCATGCATTGCCTAAAAGTTCTAGGCATTTTATAGAATGCCTGAATTTCATACTTTGCCTACTGACTTTAGGCATTCTATGCATTGCCGGATTTCATAGTTTGCCGGTAACATATACACGAAGTCAGACCCCTCTATTTGAAAATGTTTGATCGTCTTTGAGTTTCTGATAAACAAATGAATCACTCAGATGACCATGATTCACTTAAGGTAATATAAGTTCCTATTTGCAAGTTTCTTCTCGTGAATGTTCAGGCACCAGACAAGAGTCACGTAAATGCAAATTAAGAATTTTCACTGTTCACTAATAGATCGATTCAGTATCAATGAAGCGTTAAATATTGTCCCTAATCTGAGTTCAAGCGGTGTGTAAGGTTATGCCGTTATAGTTATACAAAAGTCGAACCGACGTTCTTATAGGAGTGGAGCATGCGATAAACTTTACATGTAACTTTCTTATTAAAAATATATTAAAATTAGCCGTCAATCACAATATAATATTATTAAAAAATTAAAATATCATTTTACGTTCCCTATCGAGTACTCGATTTACATGTGGAACATACACGACATGTTTCTGCTATATATAGCCATCATCAGGTGTTAGGTATTTAAACTTTTCACTGAATTACATGTCGTGTATGTTCCCCATGTAAATCGAGTACTCGATAGGGAACGTAAAATGATATTTTAATTTTTTAATAATATTATATTGTGATTGACGGCTAATTTTAATATATTTTTAATACTATATAAATCACAATATGACGCATCTACAATATCTTATGTAACTTTCTGTTTTTCGGAAATTTAAAAACGTATAAGTGTTGAGATCTGCTGCCGATGTTGTTCTGGGCTGTGACGACGTGTAGACTCGTAGGTAGAGGAATAACATATCGGAATCGTGAGGAACTCTGATCTCACCGAGATCTACAGGGTGATTCAAAAATCTCCTAACATATGGAAAATGATCAGTTTTTTAACAAACCGTCACTTTACTCACAAAACGTGCTCTACATCAGTGGCATTCCTTTGAAAACACACACAGATGCGCCCCTCCCACTCCCGTTAACACATCTGGTGTTATGTGTGTAATTGCATTTCGAATGTGTTCCTTTAGGTGATTTCCCTATGTATGGAGATTTTTTAATCACCCTGTATTTACCGAAGACGCCGTCCTATCTGTCGCGTCATACAGTCCCACGGCCAGACATCCTAGGCCTAACTAAACGGAGAAACCTCTGAGTTTCAGAACGAAGTTGGTTTCGAGATTACAAACCCAAGCCTCGATAATTGGCTCAGCCAGGCTACAGATTGGCTAGGCTAGGATGGTTTCTTCAAAGTAGTACGTCGCAATTTCTTAATGCCACGGGGTTTAATCCCATTACTCGTTCTACTATCACTTCCATGGGAACATAGAAACTTATCTTTTCGCATCTGGGCGCCTGTCCCCCCAGATGTGAAACGTTGTGGGCTCTCGTGTATTGCGGGAAGTCTGGAAAGGCCGTATAAGGAAAATGGGGTGACGATGGCCTCCACATTAAGCACATTTATTGAAGTACTAATCGACTTTTATAAAATCGAATTGCGATACATATGTAAGTGAAACGAACTTGTGTGAAATCGAATACATTTGTTTTCTGGCGGTTTCATAAACACTATAAATACACAGATTGAATAAATATTTATTTCATATCTAATTTTTCGCAGCAAATCAGGGTACTTAGTCCAAAAGTAGGCCTCTTAACTGCGGAAATTATGTACTAAAGCTGTTGATGTGGAATTGTAAAGTGATTTATAATTTATAATAATAAGGATTAAGTGGCCATATTGACGCAGTGTATAAAATATATTCTGAATAGGAAAGTTGCCCGAGTAGTAAATAGTGACTTTGCTTCAACATTACAGGAATTGATTAAATGTATGTTTATGTTTGAAACATAGTTCTTACTTACATTGAGGAAGAGAAGAAGTTAAAGTTAAACACTAAGACAAACATAAACGTTCCAGAACTTGGTTGGATGTTTGTTTTGGAGAAAGAAATTTCCAACGGACGATTTGTTTGATGTGAAATTAGCATGTCAGGATGGTTTTCACATACAACATTTTCTCTGTCGTGGAGAATTTTGACTTTCCGAACCACAGCTCCTTACGTCCTTGATTGTCAAGGACTTCGCATATCTTTGTGTTCGTTCTGCACTCAGCTCGGATTATCCTGATCCACGCCACATGCCGATCATCTTTTCAAAAGGTATCAAAGCCTTCAGACCGGAAGTTAAATATAGACTTCATACAGCCACCATTTTATTATTTTGCGTTCTTTAAAAAAATCCTCCAACGTAATTTGAATATTTTTCGAAGACCTGTTACAATTTCAGGACCCTAAATTACGAATTGATAGCGGAGATTCCATCTCACAATTTCGTTTCCGCCATGTTGGTATTGCCGCCTGTAGGATTTTGGAAAGTAAAAACGTGGAGTAGCATCCAATAGCATGAGGTCCGTACCAAATTTTATAAAAATCCGTTCATTGGTTCTTGAAATTAATTATGTAGGCAGACAGGATCACTTCTGAACACGTAAAAAAGAACGTATTTGTTTTCTGTGTCCTTCAACTGAGTTCCTATCTCGCTCTAACCCCTTATATATTTTAAAGAATTTAAAAAAGATACATATAAACATAAGAGAAAAACTGGTGGCTATGTTCTGTTTTCATGATATTGATAATTTAAGCTGCAGTGGTTACAAAAAAATTGGGTTAATTAAAGAAAAACTATGATATAAATATCGGTTTTAAATAAACCGTTATAAGACCGCATCTATTTTTTATCATAAAAGACCTCGTACGTGTCTTAAAGTTAAGTGAAACATTTTGGCATGTCATGCAACAGAGAAATGGAGACTTTGATCGCACTGTTGGATGCGGAATGTTTGAAATAGTTTTCTAACAGTGAATTCGCATTCCAGAAACGAAAGTTATGTAGTTTCTGAGCGACCATTCGTTTAACAGTGAAGGTATTGGAAATGCGCGTGGTAGGCCTGCACGTTGGTATTTTGATGAAGCAGTTTTAATGTTATAGAAACATATGCAGAGGCTTTATATAGTCCATTCCATTTCCTGGTTATGGTATTCGTATCGTTGAAGCTTCGGGCACTGGAACCACAAAGAGTTTTTATATGGAATTGTCTTTGGGACGTTATAACACTGCTTTCATCTTCCCTGGCTCTAACGTCTCTGGCAATGCGTAATATCCAGAATAAATATACATTAAATCCAACCAAAGGAAATAATATTTTCAAGTAAGGAATTTGAATCTGAAAGATTCACGTTACAAACAAACAAAAACATCAGATAGGTACAGATACAAATTAAACTTTGAAGTTGGGTTGTAGCGCCTTTGAGTGTAGTCTGGTAGAAGTTTTCCGACGTTTCAGAGGTCCTCGCTGCCATCATTACCGCCGTGAAAACCTCAAATCCTACAAATTAACTTACTAACAAACACGGCTAACGCCGTTCCCTGTGGCTTAACGCCGCTAATACTGAAACTTTAACGTGGATTAATAAACAGCTAATTCAATCCACAGCCCATCTCCGTTAGATCGATCTTGAAGTTAACCTCCCATCTCCTCTTGAGGTCCAGGAGGTCGTATTCCAAGTCACGATTACCCCATTATTCTAAATTGTGACGTATTATTATGGTCTTTAAGTCATTTTAACTACTTCATTTGCTGTGTGTATTTGTTATATTTCTCCTTTATTTTCAATTATTGTTTTATGAATTTATTCGCCCATTAGTACATTTATTTAATTTCTCTGTTACTTGGAAATGAACGGAAAACGTTGGCTTCTAATCTGTAGTGTTTATAATAATTTATGTGGAAGATTATATGGATAGAAAGACAAAACAGCTGTTAGGCGCTGGTAATAACCTTGGTCTAGAAGTGAGATCAGGCAAACCTAAGTATACGTTCGTATCTCTTCATCAGAATGCACGACAAAATTGCCAAGATGTTACGAGCAGATTTAATTTAGAAATGTTTCGGTTCTCGGTCTTTTATCTTTCTGTCTCCTCCCAAATAACGTAAATATTAAAATGTGGTAGACCTCATATTTACTTCTTGTAGTGAGCGTGTGCACTTGGTCTTTCCCGCTCACAGAACGTGGACTGGAGAGTGTTCTGTAATGAATTTCTGGACCTAAGACTGAGAAAATTAGAAGAGGTGCGAAGATTTTCATACTTTATAACCTTTTTAATCGATACTGTTTATCAGATATTATTGGATAATAAAATCGGGGAGGATGAGATGGGTGGCATGTGTAGCACGAATAAAAGAGACGAGAAATTCTTACAAGATATGATCTTGAAGAAAATGTGTTTCACTGTCTGGATTCAACTGGCTCAAGGCAGAATCCATTGATAAACTCTTGTGAAGACGATAACGAACCTTCATAATGTAAAGGGCGGATAATTTCTTTTCCAGCTGAGCGATTATCAACCACACAGTTTCCCGTTTAAATCAATCACCTGCATGCGGGTTATCTCCCCTTGCTGTCGAGAACTTTATACGGGGTGTGGGGTATTTCCACACAGAAGGCGCTGTAGATGCTGACCTCAGAGATATTGACAGTGGTTTCTGTGACATATCGCCTCTTCAGAAACTGTCTACGAGCTGATATTGCCCCTCGTGGCCTGTGGCTGCAGCTGGCCAAATTATTCTGGCACCCGAAGACCCAACGCCACCTGAGCCTAGCCAAACGTCTTACAGCAGCGTGCCTGAGATCAATGTCAGTAGTTTCCTCCCACGCCTATGCCCCCTAAATGGATTATTATTATCAGGATTTTGAACTATAATGTACGTTTATCTTGTTTAGTCCATACGAACTGCATGTGCTGTCCCCTGAAAAGCAAAACTAAAGCATTGCATCGCACCAGCCTGATTATTCAATTCAATTCAATTCATTTACTTCAATGCTTGACAACAGCCAAATAAGGCCAATAACAGTCAATCACTGACAACAGTACAAAATAAAATATAATAATAATAAAAGTAAAACATTACAAATACAAAAACAAACAAACAAATGTACCATAATAATAATAATTCAATTAAATTTATTTATTGCATAATAATTCACAAGTAAATGAGCTAAATAATATGCCTAAGTAATAATAATTCAATTCAATTTAATTATATTGTTATTAATAATGATATTGATGATGAAACACAAACTAAACATTATTACGAAAACATTTTACGTAATTTATGAACATGAACACGGGGTTTAACTTTGCAATGTGCCTTTTTAAAGCATGACATGTCGACTGTCGTCACAGAACGTAATTAAAATTCCAGTTACCGAAAGTGATTCGTGTTCCGTGGTGCGCACACTTTAACTTTTGTTGAAGGTTTCAGCTGACTGGTTCGTCGATTCCATTCCCTTGAGGGTATTGTACAAATTGGATAGTAAAATTAATTTCTAACCTCTGAAATCGCATATAGGTGACACATGTAGAAACTACGTATCATGCTCTGAGAGAAGTGCTTCACTGTAGTGTATATTATTAGTATTATAACAGTTTCCATGGTAACGCTGCTGGGAGGTTTGGACCTTATGTGAAAATGAGTGTAGAACTGGTGTTTGCTGTTTAGGGATTTTCATTCTCGTGAATTGCGTTATAGAAAGTTCTTGAGTTACTTGCTTTAGAGGTTAAAATGAAAACGTACAGACATTTGAGAAATTCTAAATTCAGTGTTATTTTTTAATAAAAGATAACTTACCCTGGGGGTCCCATTAATATTGTTACAAAGAAGTTTTTTTTGTTTTTTTCATAAAAATGCACAGCTCTCGTTTTCTGGAATTATTATTTTTAATATCCCTTACGTCAAGAATTGTTCTTAAAAGATTGTAAGTAAAAATAATCATTAGAACTTTTTTTAAATGAAACTGCACTTCTTTTAGGTAAATGATCGTCATTAAACATTGGGGGTCTTTAAAATGTTTTGGCGACGTGTAGACTCATCGGTAGATGTCTGAAGATGGGTAGATCCTGTATAAAGATGCAGCGTTGGAATCTACCGATGAGTTTTCTCGGCGCCAAAACACATTTATCATCATCCTTAGGGCCGTGAGGACCTTACTCAAATCTCACATTGGGGGTCTCAGCCACATGTCCTTCGTCACTTCTGTTGATACCTCAGCCCTACCAGACAGACCTACTGAGGTCACTGCCCAACAAAGTTGAATCAATTGAAACCGAAAATTTTAAGGAATATCGTAATACCGAATTGCTGAAACAGAATTTCGTCCCGATATGGCGAGCGCCCTGGTAGGGGGCCCAAACCTTAAGTTACTTATTGATTCGTTAAAGGGAACATGAAACGGTGCCTTGGGCCGCATCGAATGGTAAGTTTTTAATCCGTGTTCTAGAATCTAGATGAAATTGCAGGCAAAACTATGTTCATGTCTCGTCATTAGTCTGGCAAAGTTATATCTTGCACAGGCAACTCTCGGTTTAGGAACGAGTACCGTTCCAAGACTTTGTTCGCTATGTGTATCTTGCATTCCTGAGCTTTTACGATACTCGATCGGTTCACACCATAATGACGCGCTATGTCCACCTGCTTATGATGTCTAGCTTAGTTTCTAATCTACCACTGAGTCTTCTATTACCAGCAACAGCATTTCTACACGTATTTCGCATTGGTCTAGTGATCGCTTAAATTTTTAAAAATATATATTTTAAGTCACCAAATGCAGAACTACGCTTGACCGTCTAAGACAACTTAGGCAAAGCAAGTGATGATCCTAGTATATTATAACAGGGGGAATCACCGATTTCATGCCCACGAGAAAAGATTCTACGCGGCGTGACATGTGAATCAACGCCTTTTTACTGGCTAGATTAGTTTTATTAACCAAGAACAGTTCAGTATAATTATCATATAATAATTTCCTGATAATTATTGTAAAAAATACATTTTTAAAAGTTTATTTATTTAAATCTTACAATTAAGTTCAAGTTTGGCATTTCGTTCTTTAAGGAACTCAGTCCATTGGCAACTTTAAGGAATTTTGAATGAATTGTGACGTTCGTTATAGCAAATGTTCGTAAATCGAATGTTCGTAACTCGAATGTTCGTAAATCGAATGTTCGTAAATCGAACGTTCGTAAACCGAGAGTTCCCTGTATTGAGCCCTTTTTGGGCTCCCTCAGGGCACTAAACGCATTTTTTCTTGGCTGTGGATGTTCCAGAGTTAAATCTTGGCTCAGAAGGAGAAATTGTGATAAATGTTACGTGAGGCAGAGGTCACTGAAACTTTTCTTGTGTGTGTTTGTGTAGGTTGATGATTGGCCAGTACGTGACAGTGTTTGGTGATGTGATAAGCCACGTTAACATATCGTCGGTGAAGCCTGAGGACGGGGGGGAGTACGAATGTGTGGCAGAAAATCGCGCAGGACGGACCAGCCATTCAGCGAGGTTAAACGTTTATGGTAAGTCTTGACAGTGAAGTTGTTGAATTTCTCATACTGTTTGACTCTGTATGATATTATGACACTTTATTAGTTACATCGTTTATGGAAGTTAACTATCCACGTCTGGTAAAATTCCCATTATATTTCTTATAAACTAAAGAAGTGATTTTCTTAATTAAAATATTTCATACTATACAATTTTTCCCGTGAGATTTGAACGTTCATACTAATCTTCAGGTACGTAATTGTACTCCGACGCTAAATTTACTTTTTTGTGTAATGTAATATATTTCTCTCGGAGTAGAATTTATGGAACTAACATATATTACTGTAAAGCTGTAACTTCGTTAATTCTCGTAAGCTACGTCCGTTTTTTTCATCAGCTACATACTTTATATGGAGTGCCAGTTAAATTCTACAACGTTTATGTAAAATATTATACTCGAGAAAAACACTAGCAATAATCTGAGGGCCTCGGCACAAAAGGGCTTATCGCTACACATTTTTTTAATCGTACCCGTGTGCATGCAAGGCGTTTTTTGCATAGTCGCTAAGACACGAGGCACATTAGTCTGATCGATGTTGTGGTAATGGCTCTCAGCAGCTCTTGAAGAGTGCGGGATTATCTTTGTAAACAATGTTTTTATTGCTTACTAGAGAAAAGATTCCCGGGGGGGGGATTCACTTGGACACCATTTTCTCTGCAAATAAATCACGGATCAGCCTTAGTATTTGAAATATTATAATCCGGTTGAAAAGACGCGCTGTTGAAAACGTTCAGTTGTTCATTAAATTTCTTAATAAAGGGGTAGAGAATAAGATCGCAGTATTGTCCCTCACCATTTATCCAAAATGTGTCGGGTCGTTCAACCGCCTCTGTACAATAACTTTGAAATCCTGGAATTTGGTTTCCTGTTGAACGCTGATATTTGACCACAAACGAAGCAGGACAAGTCAGGCAACGCTTTGTCCCTTTAAAATATCGTATTTGAGATATTTTTACTGACTTTATTAGTGATAATATTTTCAAGGTCACGTCACCTTTTGGTTCATTCACGGTTTTAATTTGTACGGACGCAACAGTGGACATCTTGTTGGTGTTTTTTGTGTGTAGTGCTCGAGAGACACTATTCTGCGAACTGATTTGAGCGTCCTTAGTATATTTTCTCCCTGTACCCACAATTCTGGCGGCCTGCCAGACCCTACACAATCACAAACGTAATCTGTTGCATGGAATTTCAACTTGCACTCTTGGGACTCACGATTTCCTAACAGGAAACTTTTTTTTGAACTCCCTGAGTTTCCCTCTTACTCTCTCAGACACCTCATTTTTGCTCTGGTTCCGTCAGAAGGGCTCACGCCTCAACTAACAAACACCAATCAACTAATTCCAAACCCGCGTGAGTAACAACTGAATAGAAAGTAATCGGGGGTGGTACGAGCATATGAGCAAGCTTAACATCTTCCACGACCTGCGTTAAAATCAGGTTTCAGAAGTGTTCAGCGTCTTTGTGAAAAAGTCTGGTTCTCTGAAGGACAGAGAGAAATTCGCGTTTAGAACTTTGTCTTTGGAAGAAACATATAAAATCCCATATCATTTAATATTTTTATCTTCAGGACGTAGAAATGAGCATTACGTTTCTTATTTCATAGTTGGAAGTGAAGATATATCCCGGAAGACATAAACGTGGATGTAGGATGAAACTTAAATGCATCGTAGAATAAATGCGACCTTATTTTTAAGTTATTTTGGATATTATTAAAAAGGCGGGCTTAATTTATTTAGGGCAGAAGACGGACTTTTGTGAACGTATTGGAGAGTCTTTGGATTCCACAATAGATGGAAACAAATTGCCCCGATTAATAACGCTAACTTGCTCAGGAAGACTGGATTTTCTATCGTTCCTCTTAATCGTTATCACCACCGTTATTAGAATACTTCGTTCGCAAAATTTACGAAGAATGTACGTCAACTTCAGGTACATGCATTCTCATGCTCTACCCATGTTTTGTATGCTGCCTTAATGATTTAGAATTTCTACAGTTTGAATTAGCAACAAAAACTTTGTAAGTTTGGCAGAACGTGAGAAGTTAATTAAAACCGAGGCAAGTCTTAAAGAGCTGAAAGGTTCGACCTCACTTACGTCGTGTTAGAGAAGTTGCCGAAACTCTAGGTGGTATTAACCGTTTAAGATATTAAAACGTGTTTACAAACTGTTTTACTGTAAGGTGGTGGTAATGGAGGCTTAAGAATGAAGGTGCTATTTTATTTGTTACTGAAATGTTTGTTCCCACTGGATCTTAAGACCTCGATAGTGGCTTTGATTCTTGATCCCTTTCTAAGATGACTCTCCACGAGGCCAGTTTTGAAACACGTCGCAATTTTTTTGCATCCCGAAGTGGTTTAGAAACCAGTTTAGGTAAAGACAGATCAGACCAAGCAAATTCTGGGAAATTTCAGTGTTATGGACGAAATCGCTTTTAAGATAAAATTTTGAAAGACGCAAGACTGTAAGTGTCGGTTTATGTAAAAATAGCATTATACTGAGGACCATCCAAAAAGGTCTGTGGGTACCAATAACCTTCTACGCCTGATAATAATAACCATCAAGAACTACAAACACTAAAAAAGTAACTGAGGGACATGACAATTATTATCTACACACAGAAATCTGTGGCTTTATGGTCAGTAATGCAAATCACGTAGTCTGGAATCCCTTAATAATTCTACCGCGGCAGTGGTTATGATAATGAGCGTAACATAGATCTATTACTATTATCCCATAAGATTTTAAACCGCTCAGCAGCGTTACCATGGCAACAGTTATAGTAATCTAGTGATAAATGTACACACAGTTGCGATGGTCATTGAATGTCGTGTTAGGGGTAGATAAATTCCTTGCATTTCCCTTCAACAAAACGAATTTCATTCAGAGCTACAGAATGCTAACACAGGTTCTGTACTGCGATCAACCAATGTCGCGGACTGACATGGCTGGGGGATTCTTTACAGTGATTCATACCATTATCGTACGTTATATCTCTTTTCCTCGTGCACAAAAATGTGGTTGGCTTCCTTCAAATTATTATTCGACCTATTAAATTTCTCTGAAGACGAATATAAATTCGTTTTGCAAGTTGATATTCGTTCAGAGTCTAGCTTCCTCTCTCGTTCCCCGTTATGTCTTTGTTCCTACCCATTCAATGGTTTCCGTTGTAGTAACTGATGACAACGTCGAGCGTCGGGACGCCTTGCAGCTGCTTTGCTTCAGGACGCCGCCGTTCGGCTCAGATTCATCGCATACTCGCGATTTGAAGCTTATCGCCCTGTTGCAGTATTTAATGAAGAAAAAGTATTCACAAGATTCAGTTCAGTTTTGGGCCCCCAAGGCAAATTAGTAAAAACAAGGCCCCACAAAGTAATTAAATATATAAGAAACGTTTTATCTATTTTTTTTAGAAAATAAAATGTGAAATGTTGAATATATTTAACATAATATACACACGAAAATTATAGAAAAAATTCTTGAAGTATTTTATTTCCATTTTGGTTTACTGAAAACAGGAATTATAATTTTACAGCATTACATTCAAAAATTAAATAAAATTATTTTGTTTTATGTTAAAAATATGCCAAAATTTTAAATGGTCCTAATCGACTTTATTCTAGCAAATTTGTCGGTCACTGCATCGAAATTCGATAGCATTTTCTGTTAACAAAGTTGTCGATGATCATTTCTTCCCTATGCAACTTCGCAGGTAATTTGTATGTTACTTTTAACTGTATTTATCACCGATCTCAAATAGCCTGTGACAGTGCGTCTGTTATGTATTTGTAGGGTACTGCTTTCGAATCTCAACTGGGTAATCAGTTTTGAGCTGTGACCTTTCGTGATTTTCCTCACTTTTAATGCGAATTTCGGGCTACGTTCCCTTAGATGTCAGTAGATTGCCCACTGTTAACCATCCTCACGTTTCATTCGATATCCTGTGAACTTTTAAATGGCGTAGATTTTACAGTTAATAATAACTTCTTCTGGTTTTACGCAATTCGGAATTACTTTCCTAATTACGAATCGGTGTACACATTTGGACTGACCCAAGGCCTCTACCTACACAGTAAAGTATAACTCATAAATACGCGGACATACGCCATGCTTCGACTGGGATTTGAACTCACTATCCCGGTGTTCGAACCCTCAACGCCTTAGACTGCGCTACTATTTTGATCGGCTAAAATAAGTTTAATATTCTGCAGATATCTTCCTCTGCTTCGTCTGTAGTCCTGTTTTATCTCACGTCAGTGTCGGTCACGTGGTTGCGCTGTTCTCTCGACAGGTTTGCCCTACGTAAGACCAATGCCGCCTATACCTGCCGTGGCTGGTAAGCAACTGGTGGTGAAGTGTCCAGTGGCCGGCTACCCCATCGACACGATTATCTGGGAGAAAGGTAAGTCACAAAATTACGCCTCATTTCATGTACTAGGAACTGCAAAGGAGTGGACACGGGAACTTGAAACTCATTACGTAAATATTTACTCCGATAATATGCTGGTGCGTTAAACCTCTCCGTTCCGGTAGTTAAAACGTTAAAAATTGTAACCTTTCTTTTCATTTCGATGCTTATCTCTCGACTTACAAGTACAAGTTAGCTGCATGTAAGTTTTTTTAAGAGATCGTCGTCATAATTTTTTACACAAAGACTGAGGACTCGGAAGTAACTTTTGGAATTCAGAAGTTAAATTTTTCCTTCCATCTACTCGAAACTTCTCCTATACGTAATTTTCTCTGATAAAAGTGCGTCTTTCAAGGAGTTCTGTCTTCGTTCTGTTTGTTTAATTCCTCCCATTTGACTCATGACGTTTTACGTTGGCAATTATATTTGTACTTCGCAGTGTCCTTTCAACTTCTTCAGTCTGTAATCTGTCTCTTGAAGGTCATTGAGACTAACAGTACGTGTGCATTTTCTGTTTTCTTTACAAACAATGTTGTGTGCCCTTAGAAGAATACCGTATCTCTTCCTTTTTTTTCGAAATTTATTCCAGTTTTTGTTAATTTTTACAACGTGGAACGTCAAATTACATCGTCTCTTCTGGTGAATTATATTGTTTTAATTTGTGACTTAGGACTGCGTGTAGCAGTGTTATTAGAATTATAAGCATTTTAATTAAGCGGTATTGAATTTATAGATTATAGAAATTTAATTCTTAATGAATCAACGGAAATGTGGTCGAGGTCTGTTCTGAATTCTGTAAGAGCAACTGAAAATGGAGACAGAAAGGCCCTGAGATTTACTCGTGTCGCCGTGTGGCTCCTGTCACGTTATTTCTGTAGTTCACAACTTCATTCTCCCGCCAACCTTCGAAATCGACGGTTGCCCTACAGCCTCCGAGGCCACAAAGAATTGAAATGTCTTTAAAATGCAACAAATCTCCTTTCTGTTAATGACGTATTAATAGAAAAAGATCGTGGGAGAAAGGTAATTTTGTGACATTGCTGCAGATTTAGCGATGAACCGAGGTGGATAGGCTCCCGATTAACTAGCATCACGAGAGACAGAATGGAGAGGACACTTGTCCGAAAATAAATTGAGAAAAATTAAAACTGCATCTTCAATAAATGACTAACTAACAAAAGATGGCTTACCGAACCAGAAGGTTCATCACCGAACTAACCAAAGCCCTCCACCGGACCCTGTCTCCTTCAACTCCTATCTCCCATAGATCCCGCCTGAGATTATCCTCCCATCTACGTCTAGGTCTCCCCAG